CTCTTCGTCCTCTAAGCCAACAGCGCTTGCGGAACAGAGGGTGAAGGCTCGGGACGAAGACTCCATCAGCGGGGTGTAGCTCATCCTGCGGCTCGCGGCTCGTCTGCAACTCGAGCTGCGAAGTGACGTGGTTTGTCGCTGGCAAGCCGTGGCTAGGATGGGTGTGTCGTTTGTTTTTTGAGGATACCCCTTGGTTGTGGTTTGTGGCTTTAACCGGGAAACCCAAAGGAAACCCCATTCAGTTTGGACCCACATATATATATATATATATCCCACCAAAACATTGTATCAGTTCAGGGAAAATATTGTATGCCGGACCCTAAATGGTTACAGTTGTGCTGTATACTCCCACGTAGACAAACACCTGTGGATGGTTGATTTATCCAAAAGGGGAACCTCTGGCTCTTTGTGTAGATCATGGGGTTATTGAAACACGGAACCCGGGTGATGTGAAAAGCGACGGGAAGACATACTGACCCCTGCTTGCTGTCCAGCAGGTCAACCAAAGCAGCTCATGACCCTTGCTACACTGTCCACCCAATCCCCAAAAAGACACTTACCAAAGATAACTAGATTGACAAGGTGATCCTCCAAATCAGTTTAAGCATGGCCAACATTTGTATCGGTCTGGGAACTCTATTGCTTCACGCCTGATATGATATGCAATGCTATGCAAGACCAACTCCCCTAAAGTGCCAGGATCAGAAGATTCATTCAGCTTCGCCCTGATTGGTGGTTTGGTGGTGAAGGACGTGTGTCTCATCTATCCTCTGCAAGAACGGTTTAAATCCCCAAGCCATCAATCCAAGCCACCGAGGATTTACCTGAGTCATTCCCTCGCTTCCGTGGATTCGGCAGTCCAAACCGATTTGCCACTGACATAGGTCCTCCAGATTTGAGAGCTTAGAACAAGTTGGTACCAACTTCTTCTTTTTCTGCAGATCTGTTTTAGGGGAGCCGAATCTCCCTTCCAACCGAAAAAGCAACGGGTGAAAGGTCGGGCACTGGACCTAACATCTTCTTTTGAACTCAAAGGAGTGAGCTACAGGGATCCGAGTGAATACACCTGAGCATTGCAACTTGTACATGGTGGTTTCCAACTTTATGTTGGTGTTGAAAAAGCAACATGCTTCAAATGGTGGCAAAATGGAGATCTCTTAAGGAGCCCTGGTCTACTTGGTCTCTTTCTTGGACACCCCACTGAACTCTGAGGGTGCAAACTTGTGCGTTGCAGTTTGCCCGGGCCAAACGCTGTGTTTTGCTGCGTGCGACGACGTGATCGCCGGCCGAGATCGGCAGGGATCGGTAGGAATCGGTAGGGATCGGTAGTTGGTTGTTCAGGAAGGTTTAGACTGGGAGTTTGGGACGGGTGTTGGGTCTGGAAAACCTCGTGCCACTGAAGACTCAGCAGTTCCCAAGTCTCAGTTGCCAAAAAGGACCCAGAAAGAAAAGGTTAGCCTTTTGGGGCCAGAACTAAAGATGGAAACCAGCAAGGGGAAACTAAAAGGTCAGATCCGGTCGATTCGCTTTGGTCGTGAGGTTGGTGACTTGGGTGGATTCGCCAAAAGTCCAGGCTCGGGGCGGTGAGTTGATGGGCATGGCTCTTGGGATGGGAAATCGCTAAAACCCTCAACCAGACTTTGCTCGAGGCTTTGGATTACCCTCCCACTATACATTAAGGACCCAAGCGACCTTAATGTTGGCCGATGGAGCCAACTCCCCTTGCATTCTCCTCAGTGGTGCAGGCCGATCGCCCGATCGCCCGATCGCTGCGCGGCGCAAAGAGAAAGAACGCGACAGCGCTCGCGCACGGTTCACCCGGAGCCGAGGAATTCAGCGTGTCATATGCAATGCTTGAAGGGTTCAAAGGCGCCCGGGGAAACCATAGTTGCGTGCCCACTCAAAGTCCGCATCCAAGATACCAGGGTCCCTGTCTCGCAGCCAAACATCTAGTTGTGGGGCTTCTGGATATTGCTTTCACCTTTTGGGGGGGACTCGGGGGAGCATTGCTGGGGGTTGCTTGGACTACCACTGGACCTCTCATTGGGAACTCATGCTGCATACAATTGCATACAAGTCAACATGCTACATCTCACTATCACGTACGTTCTGTGCAGATGACTGAACTTGACCAATACTCTTTGGTTGCTGAGCTTCTTTTTTGCGTGTGCAGAGGATGTTTGCCTTATGCAAAGGCAGAGGTGGTACGCCCAAAGGGATCTAGACAGAAAAACAAAACGATTGCCCCCCTCTGTTCATGCATCACTCATATAGAGGAGAAAAGCATCGGCTACGGCCTTTTTGCAGGGTACCTGTTTTTTGCGTGTGTTTTTGGTTTTAAAGGGAAGCCACGCCATTTTTTCCTGGGTCTCCTTAAACGACACGCCCATATGGGTACTTCCAACAATATTGCCCACCAAGCCTTGTCCCATTCAAAAATTATGGTTCCACCTACCTGACATGGGTTGAACACCAAAGTACAGGTGTTTCAAAACATATGGACAAATTAAAGTCAATCAGCTGGACAAAACAGGAGTAAAGGGATACCCCGAGACCCAACCAGGCAATGGTGTGACCAAAGATCAACAACTGCAGTTGGAGTCGCCCAGTAGCGCCCATGAATCACGGGTGACTTTAAACTGAGAAACTTGAGCGAGATGGTTCTGCAGTCGACCAAGTGATGAACACAGGAAATATATACACATGCGAGCTTGCAAGTGCCAGTGTAACGGGGTCCACATATTTATAATATATATATACACATCAAGATAAATATACAAATCCAATAAACTGGTCCCAACTGGACAACCCCCGCAGCCCACCGCAAGGGACTTGTTTCTCATCTTCGCGCCATAGAGCTGCGACTTGGCAGAACGCGACTTGAGGCATGCACGAGACGGACCAGCGACATAGATTGATCCCCTTTAGCTAAGCTTGGTTGACGTTGGAAGAAGAGCAACAAACATATTGTTTAGCAGTTAAGTGGTTGGATTTCAACCACTAAACCTCAATAAGACAACATGTAAAATGTGTCCCAACAACCCCATGTAAGTGCGGGATAGAACCTGAGGATTTCACCTCCTCTTCCCACGGAAAGTGCTCTTTTAATATTCTACAGGGGTGGATCCACAAAAGCCACATCCAAACCGTTTGCTAGACTGTAAAATAAGCTTCAGTTCAAAGATCCGACATGGCGACTCATTGCTCCTTTTGCACACTCCAGTTACAGGTCCAGTGACGCTAGGCAAAAGGCACCCTTTCCGGGAACCCTCTTTGAACCCTCTCACCAAAACGAGGAAACAATGGCGGGCCTCCAGAGTGAACCTCAAAAAAAATCATGGGGGGGGCTTTCCAAGCTTCCCCAAACCAAGCAACCCTGGGTCCACCCAAAAGAACAACGGGGAAAACAAAAAAAACACTAAAAACATACACCCTCCCGTATCAATACATATACGGACGATCAGTATGTTAAAAAGCCGCGTGTTTTGTCGTAAGAACACATTGACCTGGCTCTGGCACTGTATTAGGACTTCCTGCTCCTTTCGGATAGTTTTCAACGGAAACCACAAGAAACTGCCTGGATAGGGTCCTTCCTTCATTTCAGAAACACCCATATTAAGGCTTGTCCTTTTTTGGGGGCCCCAAAAAAGTTGGGTTGTGCAAACCATCGGGAAACTCACCATTTGCTGCGTCCCTAAGTTTGAGACACATCAAATGAGGATTTGTCCCCAAACCAATAGAACAAAGGCTCCTGTGAGTTCAAATGTGTTCCCCCCCATGGAGTGTGTGTGTGTGTGTGTCTTTTTTAAGGAATACAAATTTCTTGTGGTTTACACGGAAACCAAAACAAAAGCCGCCATTTTGGGCGGGTTCCCCCCATGTTCCTGGTCAAAATCTCATGTTTTTGTCCATCTTCAACCTCCGTGCGAAAACGAAGCCATCGGAATTTCCGGAGCTCAGGAAGGGTCCCCCATCGGATCAACACGAAGCGAAGAAATCAGCTGGCTGTGGGTAACGTCTGACGACCAAATTCATGTGGTAAGCGAAGTGAAGTGGGTGAAGTGAAAAGGACCCTGGGGCGAATGGCTGTGGGTAACCTCAAAAATAGTTGGTGGCCCCTAAATTGGGATTCTGCTATGGAAACAAGGACTAACCTGCGATCCAATTCCTCGTGCTTGAAATTTTGACCCACACCCAGCTGGCGAAACTTTACAATAATTTCAACACCGCAATTGAGGGAACCCCAAGTACATGACTATCATTCTAGTGCTACCTTCCCCATTCTTTCCAGGGATCCTTCTTTCAAGAAAACCTCCGGAAATCCAGAAAAAACGGACGGTGTTCAAAAAATGCTGGGGAATCAACCCTTAGAATCATGGGTGAGGCTCGTTTTACCTGTCCTGCCCCACACACAAAAACCGCAGAGTAGGCTTTGAAGTAAACAGATCCTTAGTCTTTACCCCGCTGCTCTTTGATCGAATCCATAGGATCACGCCACCCTCTGATTTTGTTGAGTGCCCTCGACCACATTGCAAGGGGCCTTGGCTGAAGATGTATGCTGCGATTTATGGTGCATTACCTTCATATGGAACACAACAAACCCCGCCTTGGCGGGGAAAAATGCAGCCTCAAGTGTGGCTTACATCTGCTTCGCAGATCAAGCCTCGTCTGGAGCCCTGTGCGAGACTCGCGGAAAACGTCCAGTCCACTCGGAAAATATCCAGCCCAGAGCTCAGAGCTCATTCCCGGCGCCCAATGGGCACAAAAAAGTAGGTCAAATATGTAGTTGAACAGGCAACGTCACAATAGCTTCCAGCAAATGAACAACCACATGACCCAACCCGCAGTGCTGCCAAGTTTTCAGCACTCGGGCGGTGCTGGCACTGGACACAACTTGCTAGCATGCAGAGTTTGTCTTAGATGGGTTTGTCTGTTCTTTTGGGACCTCCTTCCCCCTTCCCAAAAAAAGAAGAAGAAGAGAGTGGCTCGCCTTTTGATTTTCCCACTCAAAACCAAAAGGGTGCCCACTCAAAACACGACAAACCCAGATGGGCTCAGCTTGCCAATTCCCAGAACGCGCTTCGCAACAACGCCTCTGAGTCGAAGCTCAAGTGAGACACAATCAAAACCCGGTATTAAAATGGTCTACCCAGAACCATGCTTCAAGAATTAAGAAGGCGGATATCCGCAGCTGTTTCTGGCTGGGACTGCCCCGTACTAACCTTCAATCCCCGAATCGGTGTTGAGCACGTGAGTCGAAGCTCAAGTGGTCTGAATGCGCAGCTTCTCACAGATCTGCGTCACCATACGAACCAAATGCCTCGTCTTCAGCCGAATGGCGATGATGTCCGTCTTCGACGCGGGGCCTCGACATTTCCTCAGCCATGGAGGCCGGAAGTTTTAAGGAAGTTGCTGGGCTAAGGGAAACCTTTGGGGTCAAAAACAAACTATACCTGGAGTCTCCATGACCCTTTAATAATGGGGTCACTGCCCAAAATAATGGGGTCAATGACCCATTTTTCAAGGGTCATGGAGACTCTAGGTAGGCAAAAACAGAAGTGACCTCGGAGGTTGAATGAACTTGGCGCTTTGCTTTGTGTTGGTCTTTCTGGGGGGAAAGGTGGATTATGTCAAAGGGAAGCCCTGCAAGGCAAACATCGAGGCGACATATCTAGGGGTTGATTCCCCATTCTTTCCAACCATCCTTCTTGTCAAAACGGATCCGTGTCCCCTGGGATCTTGATGGCTTCCTGCAAAGATTCGGATCGGAAAGAATGGACATGGATGGTACCCTTAGAAAACACATGGTAGTTCAAAAAAAGGGGTTTCCTTTCGTCTTTCAAAAGGGGATTCAACTGAAACCCAAGAAGGTACCCAGCGAGGTACCCCGAGAACATAGGCTGAGTTTCAGCAAGCCATCAATCATCTCCTCGAATTCCAACTCGCCACTGAGATCCGCGTCCAGGACGTCGAAGAGATCGTACCTCCGAATGATGAAAAGTAACCGAGGGGCTACGATCGGTGAAAAGGCAACCCCTAGGGGCCCTAGGGACCCATTGAAGGTCTTAGGGCCCTCGCGCTTTTTTTTTGGGGGGGGCCTTGAGCTGCTGAGGAAGTCTCATTTTAGAAAAAGGCGAACAACAGAATAGGTGGCTCACACCAATGGGCATGTTCCAATGATCTCAAGTGCAAGGTCACTCCCTCGTTTCCTAAGTGGATTGGCCCAAACAAGTACGAACTGCTTGATTACCGCTGGCAGAGCGGTCCTAAAAGGACTAGCAACTTCAGATTATGTTGACCCCATAATCAATCCCAACTAGGGTCAGCATTAAATCAGTGGGACCAGCTTCTTTTCAGTACCCTCGATTCATTTTTTGGGTGCTATGATCCATTTTGAAAATAAGGGCATTTAGTCCTAAATCAAAGAGGTCGCTTAAGCCACTTTAAGGGCACTTAGACCCTCAGGGTTGCTCTCCCCAGCAAATCCCTCCTCAGTCCGGGCAAGTCGAGCCGCAGCGACACGTGAATGCGAATGACACTCACACGGGGGGGGGGGGACCGACGCTGGGCAAATCGAGCCGCAGCGACACGCGAATGACACTCAGGCAGGGGGGACCGACACTGGCGTAGGTGACCTTTTCAAGGGGTAAGTGACCTCGATTCGCACCCCCACTGACACTCGAATGACACGCTTTGACACTCAAAACGCCATGTTCGGGCTTTCCGGGTCGGCCCCAATCAAAAGCCAAAAAGGATACTTAGCAAACGAATCAAAGGGTCACTGGCCATCGACACGGCCTTAAGTGCCCTCGATTCAAAAACACGTCAAGTGCCCTTCATTGGAGGGCACTAAAAAAATGCTGGGACATTTCTTTTAGTGGGGAATCATTACTTTTGGAGCCTGTTGACCAACTGGGGTCAACATTAAATCTGTTGGACATGCCTTTCCGAGCAGTTGGACAAATTTCTTTTCGAGCAGTTGGCAGCCAAGGCACTTGCAAGATACATCAATCTCAGCGTCTGAAAGCGTCTCGAGCAGTTCCTCCTCACCGAGCCATCCATTGAACTCATCCCTGGTCACCACCACATTGCGATTCGACATCTCCTATGGGAAGGCGGAGAGTCCGGGAGCTGTGATTACAAGCCGTCCGACGACGGCGAAACCAGGGCTGCGGAGACGGGTTCTGACTATTCTGTGGAAAACTTGGACCGGGCAAAGGTTGAGATTGATTTTGATCCGGAGGTGCTTCATGTTGGAGGGAATCCAGACCACTTGCTGCGGAGAGATGCACTCCTCTCATCCGCGTGGTTTAATCCGGACATTTCCAAACGGACGGTTGTGAAAAAGGGTTGTCTCTTTCGGTACTAGCAATACGGGCCAGTCCTATGACTTCGTCAATTGGAGCTTACTCCCTTGCTAGTGCAGAACATGGTCAACAAAAGCTGATAACCAACAACCATGGACACCAAGTTCAACTGTTCGCTAGCGAGCAACACACGTGTCCAAACCAAACAGCGAAACGTTACTCACTTAGTCAGCCATTGGTCGCAAGTCCAACGGCCACGCACCGGTCGAAAAAAGCACATCAGAGTTGTCACTGAACGCAACTCCAAACCCTTGGGCTACAATCCCCGAGGCCTACGGAAACGTAAACAAGTTCAAGAAACCACTGCCTTTACTCCCATTCTTCGCGCCCCAAATCTTCCATTTAGTTAAGACCCCTGGAAAAAATGAAAATATTTCCAGTCGTGATAACTTCCTTAACCATTTCAAGAAGCCACTGCCTTGACTCCCATTCTTCGTGCCCGTGACATTGGAATTTGGAGCTCCGCTTTCCTTTGGCTCAAGCCGAAGACTCGCACGGAGACCTTTGGACCTCTCCACCGCGTGCCCCAAGCACTCCTCGCGGATCCTTTCTGTGAGCTCTTCGTACTCACTGCGGCTCTTGGGCTTGTACCCATACCTAAGGCTGGCTTCTCAAAGAATATGAGCGACCCAAATCCCTTGACAAACTTTTGGTTCGTACGTAAGGCTTATGTCGGGAATACTATAATCTCTGTTAAACCAAGTAGAACCACCTACAAAAAATGCAAGTTTGGGTTTGGGCGCTGCCCCAAAGTCCGCATGGAGGCTTTGTGGAGAGCGGGTCTTGTTCCCGATTTGGTCTGCCTCCGCAGGAAGTGAGGAACGCCTATACCCCTTTCGTTGGGATGGTCATGGATCCCTCAAGGTAGGGATTTTAGACCATGCTTGTGCAACTCACGGAGTGACAAACGTTCGACGGCATGGCCGGTGTTGACCACCTATTGGCAATCGCATTTTGATTGAATCGGGGGGTTGGAAATGTTTCGAATCCTCGTTAGCCGACGCATGTGAATTGAGACTGCAGTAGTTGGTCTTTGTTTCGACTTTGCGGACATTACATCAGCATTCAACATGTATGTGTGTGTGGCCTCGATCTTTTCTAGGTCCTCCAGTAGAGAGGTTAGAATAAGGGTACCCTTTTTTCTGTAGTCTATTAAAGTAGGAGAGCCCTCCCAACCAAAAAAGGGTAAAAGGGCACTACTGGGGCACCTAGTTCTATTTTACAAGCCACGCCTTTCAATTCAAAAGAAAAGAAAGGAACGTGGCCAGGTGCCGGAGGCAGGGTTGGCAGGCTTTGAATCATGCTGGCATAACTGGGTTCGCATGTTTTTGAACCCTCGGGATGCCGGGGCCAAGGTAAGGTCCATATCCTAAAAAACACCAAAAGGATATTCTCCTCAGATGCTCAGTGGCTGGATTGCCCCAGCTGTTTGATTTTGAGCCCACGTCAGTCATTCAGCTTCCCTCTTGTCGGTGCTTTGGATTGGTGGTTTGGAGGTTAGGGGGTGGTTGCCCACTTATCCTATACACAAGCCAGGGGCTTAATCCCCCAACCACCAATCCAAACCACCACTCAAGCCGCAAGTTGCGACAAATCAAACGCCAATCAAAACAAAAACGCTGTATTTTGATCTTGGAACGTACCCACAACCTTTGCGCAACAAATTGCATAAGTTGCCAAACTGGTGATTTCAGGCGGAGATTGCAACTGCGGCCAGTGTCTGCGGTTGCAAACTCAACATTGCTTGCCTCATATGTACGTGTGGTCAAATCTGGAAACCTGGACTCCGAACTCCCCTTCAGTTCATGAATCAACTTGGCTGGAATTGGGACCCCCGCAAAAAAAACTATATGTTTTGCATGGTTAGTGGAAACAACAGGGACCCCAAAAAAACAACAAATCAAAAAGGGGAGAAATTCTGGGAAGTGAATTGGTGGCTTGCATTGACTTCAATATATGGGCCCAAGTAGCTGTTTTTAGCCAAGGCGCCTGACCTGCATAGAAACCAGTTTGTCCCTGAGGATCTTGGACACTCGACGGTCCTGTTGTCCCCTCTCTGCCTCCAAGTGGCCGGGTTGGTGCCCCAATAGTGACTGACTGGTTCCGGCAACCCTGACTTTCCTGGAAATGGCAAAACGTCAGCAGGCCAAGAAGCAGGCTTGTCGCGCACCTTGTGATGTTGGTTTTAGCGAACCAACCATCGAGGGCAAACTGTGCCCCATAATTATCTGGTAGGTTTGATTCCAAATCTCCCTGACAAAGAGAACTGGACTCACGGAGATTGTTCTCCTGGCTCGCAAACATCAGCCAAATCAGACGTGAGAACGAAAGCCACGTCTGCCTTGCAACAGTCTTGGGGCGCGCAGGGATGTGCCAAATTGCATGATTAACACAAACACAGCAACCTCAATTTGTTTAAACACACATACACACGCACATATGCAGAGCAACAAGCCCACGAACACACACACACACAGACTCACACATACCAAGACACGGACACAGACACAAACACACAGAGTCACAGAGACACAGAGACACAGAGACACAGACACACAGACACGCAAACACACACACACACAAACACACACTCACACACACAGACACACATGCACACACACACACACACCCACACACACCCACACAGCCACACAGCCACACAGCCACACAGCCACACGCGCACGCGCACGCGCACGCGCACGCACACGCGCACGCGCACGCACACACAAACACGCACACGCGCACGCACATGCACGCGCACACGCACACGCAGACGCACACGCACACGCGCACGCGCACGCGCACGCGCACGCACACGCACACACGCACACACGCACACACGCACACATGCGCACACGCACACATTCACACGCACCCACACGCACACGCACGCGCACGCGCGCTCGCACACACACAAACAGGCAAGCAAACAGACAGACAAACACACAACAAACAAGCAGACAAGCAGACAACCAAACAACCAACCGAGCAAGAAAACAAACAAGTACAACACATACACAAACACATATGACTCCTACCTTAATTGCGCAGCGTCCTTGTGTAACTGGCGCAACAAATCTCATACCTGGGCTGTGCAAAATGACATTTTGCAGCATTTGACGTTTGACGTTTTGTTTTTCCTTCTTTTTTTTTTTCTGAAACCGCTGCCAGGAGAACCAATCTTCTTGTAAGCCCGGGAAGGATCTGGGCTGCCTTGAACAGATGGTGGACTCCCTCAAGGCTTTCCACACGGGTCCAAACACGCAGACGGTTGGCCGCTGCCACTTACAGGCTCGGGGCTCCGTTGTGAATCTTCAACCAACGGTTCCTTTCATGTCCCTTTCAAGAAGCACGCCAAGGAAGTTGGAGAAAGGTGCTGCCAGTGCAAAGCGGCAATCAATCAGGCTTGAACCAACACAGCCGCTTAACGTTGGAAAGGGTGATCCCCCATCCTTTTTGCCCCACTGTGTGCGAGAAGGTACGTTTAGGACATCTGTCAAACCTCGGCGCTCTTTGTCGGCTGGTGCCTCGTCTTCGGCTTCTTTCTGGAAGATCCCAGTCATGATCAGTTGTCCTCAGCGCAAACGGAATCTTCCATTCAATTCCCCTGGAGAAACAGCACAAGCAATGTCCAGTAGTGATAGATTCCATTTAAACCAACAGGGGGGAAACAACACAAAACATCTTTTATCAGCAAACGGAAACTACTCCTTCAAAGGCCACCCCTTTCTCCGTTCCGACCTTATTTGGCCCGAGCTTGGGCTTGGCTTCCCAGGAAAAAGCGTGCGAGCGCCTCAGTGTTCTCGTGGCAGATCCAATTCCCCCTCAAAATCAACTACCATGCTGTCCGCCAACATGGAACATGACCCAGGGACCCCTGGAGAAAATTTGCCTTTAAAAGGGACCCTCTGTTGCGTTCCATGGCAACGTGGACAGGAGGGTAGCAAACAGCAACATGCTTGCTTTCCATGGCCAATGGAGAGCACGAGAAAGCAGGGTCCCAAAATCGTCCGACGCCAGAGAGATGTGTTGTTTCACATCGCCAAATCGGGAGAAGTCAGCGGAAAGTGGGCTCTCCACTTGGCTGCGATTGGGAATAGCTGCCATTCTCTCAATCCTACCCTCTGCTGGTGGGATCAAAGGGACGTTCCTTCTGTTGCTTTGCCTTTTTGGGAGTGGAAGGAACATTCATCATTTCCCTTGGAATCTTCCTGTTGAGCAGGTCATGTGTCATGAGCATTGAAAGCCGACTCATTTCGGGCCGATCTGGGTTTTCGCTCCGGTCCTTTGGATTTCCCTTTGACCTACTCAGTTGCCCACACAACCCAGAAATAAAAGATTAACCTTTTGCGGCCATAACTGAAGATGGACCGACCAGTGAGTCTAGGAACTTTGGTAATCTGTCAGAACCAAAAGGGCCAGGGCAACTCTCTGTCGGTGGCTGGCAAACGCGGAATCCACAGAGAGCGTCTGTCTTTCAGCTTGGGCTTCCCTTTGTTTTCCCTCAAGAAACGAGCCCTTGGGGCTCCCTTGAGACAGAAGAAAATGCGAGCAAACGTGGCAACAGAAAGATACTGCAAATATGACACAACACCAAAGGGCAGACATCAACGCAGAAGAAAAAAACAACACAAGTATCCAAAAACAGCAGCGACGAAACAACAGAAGCGCACAAAAACCTGCACCCTCCTTGAGATACTGCTCAAATATCGGCGGATTCCAATGTTTTAGGGCAGTTAGAGGGTCCAAGAAGACACAACACGTCGTTAACGTAATTTCCCATTGCTGGTGTCTATCAAACAATTTTGGAGAAACCGGAATGAACATATTAGGGAGGACGATTTTGAGAAACCCCGCCCCCCCCCCCCCCACTAAAGAGAGATGATGGGGTTTTCTCGAAATTGGGGACCCTCCAGGTGGTTTCCTTGTGGCTTCCCTGAATTGGCCATCCCAAGAGAGGTTTTCAGTTTCCTTCCATCTGCTTTCGGCAGGAGTGATAGATTCCCTTTAAAACCAACCGGGGGGAAAATAACACATATTCTTGAGCAAATGGAAGTTGTGAGACATACCCACTTGAATCACAATCAAAACCTGGTACACAAATGGTGAACCCAGAACCATGTAAACATGTAGAAAGGCGGCCGCAACTATTTCCGGCTGGGACTGCCCCTTTCTAACCTTCATCTACCCGGGTTTTGATTGTGGCTCGAAATTAAACAGGAGGGCAAACCACAGGTTTTGTTCCATGTTTCCGCTCACCAGGGCAACCCATTTTGGAATTCCTGTTTTTTGAGCCACGGCCACTTGACTTTTGGGGGAGGAACACTCCCCGCAAGTGCCGCGGCACTCAGGGAGGAGGAAATCACCCAGGCGGTCTTCGGGGCGTTTTGTCCCAGCTCACGCTGCCGCTTCTTGGTGCTGCCGTCCGTGACGTTGTCGATGAACACGGCCTGAAATCGTTCGCGCACAGACAAATACCTGGGGGGGGGCCCCAAAATGGGTCGTTTTCCTTCTGGTGTCCGTTTGAAAACGGCCCTAACATGGGCTGACTTTGACTAGGTCCTCCAGATTTGAGAGGTTAGAATAAGTTGGTACCCTTTTTCTTTTTCTGTAGTCTACTTTAGTAGGGGAACCCTGCCCCCAAAAAGGGGTGAGAAAGGGCACTACTGGGGGACCTAGCTGAACATGGGGAAATGGGAGTGTCTTCTTGAGGGGCCCCCAAAATGGGTCGCTTTCTTTCTGGTGTCCGTTTAAAAACGGCACCAAAATGGGTATCGAAAAAGACACACCCAAATTAACTCAGTTTTCTCGTGTGAGGCACAGTTCAAAGAGTAGTTTGGATGGACAAATCCATTTCGCACCACCCAAGAAACCCTCGAATGATGACTCCCTTGTAAATATCAGCAAACGGTTTCAACCGTGGTCTCAAAGCGGTGCAGGATTTTGTCAATCCGTATGGATGGACAAACTCAGGCAGCAGTTGGGTGTTCATTCATCCCAAGTAGTGCGTACCTCAACTCACGGGGCCACGGTTGAAACTCCGAATCTGTGTCATGTTCACGGTACCGTGGATGGACGAAATCCATTTCGCACCACCTAAGAAACCCTGGAATGATGATTTCCTGGTAAATACCAGCCAAATGGTTTCCCATGGTTTCCAAGCGATGCAGGATTTCGTCCATCCACAGTATCAAGCGATTTGATGACCATCCCTACCAATACCAGGTGCTTTCACCAGAAAGCCCGGCCAAATGCGTATGCGCGGGTCACAAAAAAAAAAGAAACACACACACACACACAACACCAACCCAAGTATGATCAGGGAAGGTCCCCAAACTCGGGATTCATTCCGCAGCTCCGAAAAAACGAAAGCAAAGCTTTGACCCGAAGGGCTGTTCATGAGGGGTCAAAGCAACAGACAAGAGCACACAAACGAATTGGCGCCTGCCCTTGTGTGTGTCGCCTTTTTATCAAGTGGGACACTTGGCTTGTATCAACTTGTATCCCTTTTCTCGCCCTCAAAAAACAAGCAGTAGACTAGTAGTGACATAGTCAGTGACTCAATGTGTCCTTCCAATGTCCCAACCTCCAAGTGGACGCACGATATGGGGTATTTGCGGAACGACCCGCACAAACAAAAGATCAACTAAGAGGCTATGCTATCTCCATACATGTTTGTATATGCATGCAAGAGTCGGAACTAGATATTGCAAAACATCGCTGGTTCCCTTCAACCCCAAAAAACCAAAGAAAGAACGTAGGCTACAACAGCAAGATAGAATCCAATAAATGAACGTAACAAACATAAGACGTAAAGCCGGCTTAAGCTGAATCGAACTGCCTGCGGAAAACTGAGCCCTTTGCAACCACTGGAATCGTTGTGGAATTATCAGGGATACCACCAACCCACCCCCAAAGCTCCCCCAACCAGTAGAATCTTTCTAAAACCTATTTAAGACTTGTGTTCCTCAACATAAGCTTTCAAGCCCCAAATCTAGAGGGGTCGGTAGGGCCCGTGGAAAACACAAATGTTTTGTGGGACATACGGGTCGAAACCCAGCTTCTCGCGAGGGAACAGAAGAGATCACAAAAGCGAAGAGGTTCAAATGGACATGGGTCAAAATCCAAATCGTACCCCTAGTGAACATCCCAATCCCCACTAAAATAGACTAGCATGGGTGGTGCACCTACCACCATTGGTTTTGACCCACAGCCAAATGTAGAGCAAGTAGGGCACAGGGAACATTCTTGGACTGCATTTGCATATTTTGTTGGACTCTCTTGACTTTTCCTCCCCTCAAGCAGCACCAGGACAACATCTTTCAGCCGGTAGAATCAATATACCGACCCACCCACCCACCCCCCGAACTGGCATGTTAACCCCCTTCATACCTGTTTGGCTGATGGCTGACACTTGACGGTCAGCATCTTGTGCTGCTCAGTCTTGGGGCCTGATACTGATAGCGGATCCAAAAGGAGTCCATTGCCACAGCCCCTCAGCATGGTTGTGTCATCAGTGGTCATGATTCAGTTGTGCACGGGTCAGAACTCACGGCACTAACTCTCCACCCTCCCACCCTCACAACACCCATCCCAGCCTCCAACCCCAAGCCCCCCAAGCCCCAAAACCCCCCAAACCCCCAACCCCAACCCCCCAAACCACCCAACCACCCAACCACCCAACCACCCAACCACCCAACCACCCAACCACCCACCCACCCACCCACCCACTTAGGCGCCATGATCAGATTGAAGATCCCGATGGTCACGAACAAAAACAAGAGGATGTAGGACAGCATGAAGAGCCCTCCGAAGTCCGAGCTCTTTCGGAGCCGCTCCTGACAGCGCCCGGTGTTCCGGGAAGGGGTGAAACCCCCGGCTGACGCGCCAGGACCGGGGGGTCACATCCAAATCCAAACCGAGCCAAACCACCAATTTAGGGGTACCTAACTGACAGCTGCAGGGGGAAGAAGAACCAGGGAGGTGGTCACCTTCTGACCTTCTTTTTCACATGGTTTCTCGTCTGCGTGAGCTCTTCAAACAATGGGCTGCAAGGGCTCTGATTTGTTTTGAGGGTGCCCTTCTTTCAACGGTTTTGAAGTGAAGCTAACAGACCACCCACCACTCTGTGGGTCTTCTAAAAACAGTCGCACCCGGAGAATGATTATTGGGGTGTGCCGACCCCAGATTTAACAAGGGGCAATGGCATGGCATCTCCAGATGACAAAAGCCCAAGCGCTTGTTGCTTCGTCTTTCTGCGCGCGAGAACCCTGGCTAGGGAGCTCCAGTAGAAACTTTAGAATAAGGGTACCCTTCTCTGTAGTCATTTTAGTAGGAGAACCCTCCCCCAAAAATGGGTAAAAGGGCACTACTGGGGCACCTAGCTGGCTAACGTTCCCTGTCACCAGGGTACCTTCCTCGAGGACACCAGAAGAATTAGATGGCGCCACTTCGGGAAACCTGGAAGCGTCTCTTTGGGAAAAAGGCCTACAGCACCATACATCAATGCTGGGCTCCATCTCAAAGAGAAGACCGGACATAGCGTGGTTGCTGCTGACCCCTCTGCAAACAGTTTGACCATTTGTGGGTTGAATGGAACACCCTTGACCGAAAGATCCAACCCAATATCATAGGAGCCACTTTTAGAGGGAAAGCGTGCAATTTGTCGATAGGTCGAACAAATCCGGTTAAAGGGCCCGTCCCTGTGAGCGCGGAATTGGGGCATCGGGTAGTGGGAGGCGGCCGATCAAGTGGCTCTTTCAAAGCTAAAAGACCATTTTTGCGAAACGCGACACACCACCACAGACAAGCGGGTCATAAAGACTCCGGTCAAAACATTGGAGGGTCCAAACTCGGTTGCAATCTGCTCCCCTGCTAAAAGTTTCGCGTTTAGTGGCTTAATGGAAAACCCATTGGTGGGCAAACAATTGAAGTCCTAACATCCAAGCAGAATGCAGCAGAGCAAAGTGTCATGTGCCAGCGCTGACTTGCCGAAACAACCATCCACTCCACCTTCTTAAGATGAAAGAGGCAGACCATCAGCTGGCCCTCAGCCCAACATGACACCATTCTGCACCAGCTCACAAGTTTCTCACATGTCACCCATCTGAGCTAAGGGAACCAGAAGAGACCAACAGCATGCATGAGCTCGCCTTTGCCCCTGTTTTCGTGAGCTTGCCATACAGTTGGATCTGCTCCCTGATTTTGCACCTCGATGTTGGTTTGTCTCCAACCCCAAATGTTTTGGGTGTGTGTGTGTGTACGCGTGTGCGCGCATCTGTGTGTCTGTGTTTTCGCATAAAATCATAGCAAATGCGTATGTATGTTCCGTTTCTTGCCCTCAAACACACCCCAAAAGGCTGCCCTCCAGCAAAACACGTGCTTGTGTGCATGCGTCCCAAAGGGACCCCGTCAGAGGCAAGACTTGTTGGCGCTCAGTAGGGAATGACCGAGTCCGGGTTTCGGCAATAACCGGAAGGGAATTCCCACAAAGGAAACCATAGGGGATGGTGTCATCCCCTCATTTCCTGCTGAGAGCCAGCAAGATGATGGTATCATTTGATTGGACAGGGGATGGTGGTTTTCCTTAAGGTCATTTTATTTCTCATTCCCTGATCCAGCCAGATCGACCGCCAGATCGACCCCCTCAAGCCGCGGAGTCGACGCCCCTCAAGCCGTCCTGGAGCGGCGTGCCATCAAAGGCGGCGCACCCGTCGGTGAAGCAGCGGAAGGAGGTGAACATGGCCTTCAGCTCTCATGGTCTTGCCCCATGCCTCCATATATACCATGATCTACACGTATATTGGTTTGTGTGTGTGAATGTTTGAGTGCTTGTCTTCCGATTTCTTTGTTTTGTTGCTTGTCTGGTTGCCTTTGTTTGTTGGTTTGTATGTTTGATTGCTCGTTTTGTTGGTTTGTTTGGTTGTTTGTTTGTTTGTTTGTTTATATATTTACGTTTCCTAATATCTTACCCTGACATACCATCGGACACCGTACATAAACAAACATATTTGCTTGGATCCCATGGCTATCCCTTTGCATATTGTTTACTTGGAACCCAGTATATTGCCTCTACCAGTAAACCCTCTCATATATCTATGCTTAGGCTATACTTCAATTTAGACTGGGGCTTCCTGAATTGGCGGACAAACCAAAAGGTGACAGAAACGCAAAAACAAGTGACCCGACACACACATAGCAATATATGTTGGTCACTCCCTGGTTTACCTGTTTAGAGCTGCTAAATACTACTGCCTCAGCAGGTTGAAAAAGCAACCGCTGGCGACAGCGACCGTGAAAGGACCCCAACCCACAGACCTTCCGGCTTTTGGCTCGTACATCTGGAGGCTTTGCCGCTCGTTTTGGAACAAAGGGGGAAAAGATCTCCTCCGCAACGCCCAGCTGATTCAACAAACAACGTGGTCTTTTTCAGGGTTCCTCCATGCATTTGTTTTTCTTTTGCACCAAGGCAAACGCAGGAAAGGTCATTTATTGGGGGGTTGCTCCCATGTTATGGCGGACACTTGGGGTCTATCTGGCAACCAGGTTTTTTGGTGCATTGCTTTGTTATATATATATATAGAGTTGTTAGTTCCGAGTCACACTCAAACGCCAGGAATCAACGGAGTCCGCCTCAACACTATGCAAAGAACTGAAAGGACGGGCGCACCTGTTTCTGGTTGTGACCCCCCCTTTATCCTTCATCTACCCAGGTTTTGAGTGTGGCTTCATTTCGCAAAAATGGACTCTAGGCGTCCGCCAAAACCAGAAGGGGTGCTTTGCCCGCACAAGTGGCTCACAGCCAACTAGAATGGACCCCGTTGAACAGGGACTCCTAAATCAGCATGTTTCAACAATGGCTTACTACGAGCTTACCGGAAAGGCGTGGGAAGTGGAGACACTGGCTGCGAAATTCATCCAACGCGCCACCTAAGAAACCCAACGGTTTCTGATGATTCCCCTGCAAATGCCAACAAAACAACGGTTCCCCAAGGTTTCAAAGTGGTGCGAACGGACTTCGCAACCATCCACAGTATGTCGTTTCATGGTCATGTGGCTTCATATTATTTTTCCCGTAAAATTCAGGAGTACGAAATGACTTAGAGGTCTGGTCCTGGTCACAGGCATTGCAGCAAAAACCTAAATTCCTGAGTGGATGGCCCAAAAGAGTCCAAACTTTTTGTTCACCTAAAGTGGTCTTCTCCAAAAAGGGTTTAAAGTCCAAGAAATCCGGAAGTGAGAGAGACACATACTTATAAAGCGCACAGCCATTGTTCAACCCTTACCCAAAACCATGAACAGAATAAAAGGCCTTTCGCATCAATTGAGACTCTCTCTCTCCCTCTCCGCTCCTCTCCTCTCCTCTCCTGAACTCTGCTCTCCCCTCCTCTCCGCTCCCCTCCCCTCCCCTGCCCCCCTCTCTCTCTGTCTCTCTCTCTCTCTCTCTCTGTCTGCTGTCCCCCAGGTTTCTTACCATTTTTTTCCTGGCCAAAAATCGACCAACGGTTCGGTTTCCGACTCAAAGTGACAAAAAGTTACCAACGAAATTGTCAACGCTTGGCAGCTCGCTAGGTAACGAGCTGACCCCTCTTCTTCTTTCACCCCCCCAAGTCACCTTTTTATCGAGCGGGTCCCGCAAATAGGCCCTCTGAGTATTTGAATTCGTACGGGTTTATTCATCAGGGGCCAACAGTAGGGGGGTCATTTGCAGTTCCCACCTCAACCTTGCACGATGTTGGAATCCTTGGCCATGAGCTACTGGCTGGTATCTGGGTAAAGGTTCGCAGCTTTGGTCGGAAAAGACACGTGGAAGAAAAAAAAAGGTCTACCGTCTACCCAGGAAAAAGCTTCCCTCTATGCTGTCTACAAAAAAGGGACTGTCTATCCAGGGACACATCATCAAATGGGGTTGCCTTCAAATAGGAGACCTCCAACATTGTGTGGTTGTCCATTGCATTCCATTTGAGGGAACCCTTAAAAACAGGGTTTCCATTTCAACCACCAAGAAAACCCACAAAACGGCGCCGCTTTTGTGGCTCTCTGGGTCAGGGGCCGCAGGAATCGAAGAGAACTCCTCATGCGAAGCGAAGAGCCTCGGACGAGTCAGACGTTTGGAGTCTTCTCATCGAGTCGATACGCCAAAAACAGAACCAAAGGCTTGGTTTGAAACCAAAATTTGGTCTTCCAAAGTGGCCACACCGAAAACAACAAGTTGTCGACACCTAAAATTTGGTCCAAAACCCCAAAGTCTCATGGAGTGCGTTGTTTTGGCGGCAAAAGGAGCTGCACTTCTACAATATGGAACCCGAAAAACCCGTGGTGCTTAGGATCGGAATCTCAATCATACAATTACATGTTTGATTCTTCCGTGTTGGAGAACCCGAGAATGTAAACTCATTTGTAAACAAATTCAGTTTTGCTGCTTCTGTTGTTTGTGTTTGCTTCTGTGCTTGGTGCGTTTCTTGGTCGCACTAGTTTGTGTTTATGCTCTACAGCTTCGCTTGTCCAGCTTTGGCTTGTCCAGCTCAAGCTGTTTCATTCACTCTTGTTTGGTCGGGCTGCAACCTCATGCTTGTTGCAAGCTACTGCAGGGGACTCCCCGTTCATTGGGGGCTGTCCTTTGCCCTTGCTTGC